TAACCTCCAATACCCTCTTTCTCTATTCTAACTGGTGGCCTGAATTTGACCATCTGAGTCTTAATTCTTGGATTAAAGTTTTGATGCCTTTGAATGCTCACCTTATGTCGAAAGGGACTCTTCCATTTCCATAAATTATTTGTATGTTTGGATGAAGGATAGACCTGGAACAAGACTTTGAGGGCATCAGGCTCCTGCAAGGGTGAGAGGAGGAGACTTCATAAAGAGGAAGACAAAGCCCAGAGCAGGAATGATATAGAGATCAGACGTTCCACTCCTACTCCCCAGTTTGGCTGAAGTTCTCCTTGTCATTATACCATGGGTTTTTTTTTAATTTTTTAAGATTTACTTATTAGTTTGAGAGAAAGAGAGAGGACTGGGGGAGGGGCAGAGGGAGAGAGAATCCTCAAGCAGACTCCCTGCTGAGCACAGAGCCCCATGCTCAGCTTGATCCCAGGACCCTGAGATCATGACTGGAGCCATAATTAAGGGTCACCCACTTAACCAACTGAGTCACCCAGGAGCTCCCATTGTACTGTTTTTTAACTCCATCACCAACTATGTTAAGCTTAGACTAGGCAGACTTAGCATGTCAGTGACATGAAGTACTCCACAGAGCCTGAAGACACCTTCTGTTTAATGTTCTAGGGTAAGATGGCTGAGATTCATGGCATCCATGGGGAAGAATAAAACTCTGAATATGCTTTTCCTTTTGTTGCAATTTTTCAGATTCACTTTCTGTTTCTGGAGATGGGAAATTCCATCCTTAAATGTGAAAGTTTTCCCCCTGATGGCATCATTCAAAATAGACTTGCCATGGACCCATCAACCCCATCCTCCCCAGATCATTACAGTCTTCACCCTCACTCCCAAACACTTGTCACAAACCTACATGGCCCATCAGTGGACCCCTCATTTCAACCCACCACATGAGGGGAAGTGTTCTCAAAGAAGACTCCATTCCTTAAAGAATTCTTTAAGGAATAGTTAGTTACTGCTGATAGTAATCACAGTCCCAGTTTGTTAAGCAAAGATCTTATCTCAAGACCCGTGAACCTTTTGTACATTATCTTAAGCAATCCTCCAACAACTCTGTTAAGAAGTCGTGATTAGCCCTGTTATACAAATGGAGGCACTGAAACTCAGAGAGGCTAAATGAGTTGCCTAATATCCCAGAGTTGGCAAGTGGCAGAGTCAGGATGAGAACCAGGCTTGTCCTGAAGCCTATCCAGAATCATAACCACCGTCTTACTCCCCTCCTTTTGCTGCTAACCTGAACAAGTGTTCCAAAGACCTTGAATCACATCACGAACCTCAGGTTTCTACCTGACCAAGGGCTGAGTTTACATGAACGGATGAAGGCTCCAGCAGAGCTGTTTTTGCTCACAATTTCTCCATGTGGCTCTACATCTGTACTAGATGATGCCACACTTTGCTGCAGGTCTCTGTCTTTTCTTCAAGAGGAAAAAAATCCTCTCCTGATTCTGGGAAGTCTACATACTTTTCACAGACAGGGGCAGAGTCTCTGAGTATAAAGCTTCAAGCCGTATTGGCAAGATTGTTAAGTGTGTGGGATCTCTGGAACGCTGCACAATGATGGCATGGTGATGGCCAAAAGGAGCTTCACATTCTCTCACTATCCAGATTTGAGGATTTTAGCACTGAAAAGTCTGTAGCAGGAACAATTAAGAGGGAGAAGAAGAGATCCCAATTCCATGGGCGTCTCTTTGTGTATAAGCTTCAGGAAGAAAGTTAAGGTCAATGAGACCTTGACTGGCGATGGGTAGATATGAATTGATTTTTGAAAAACTAGGAATATTAAAATAAAATGGCTCTCTTAAACTGATCAAGAAAATTCAGAGCAGGGGCTCAGCGGGTTAAAGCCTCTGCCTTCGACTCAGGTCATGATCCCAGGGTCCTGGGATCGAGCCCCAAATCGGGCTCTCTGCTCAGCAGGGAGCCTGCTTCCTCCTCTCTCTGCCTGCTTCTTTGCCTACTTGTGATGTCTGTCTGTCAAGTGAATAAATAAAATCTTAAAAAAAAAAAGAAAGAAAATTCAGAGCAAATAGAGAATTACTTCCCAAACTGTGAAGGGACTGACTTGGAATGACTTCTATAATATATGTAATTTATAGAGGGTTTGTGTTCTATGATATAAACACCCAGACACATATACATATATTCGCACAGGTAAGGTGTACACCAAAATGTTAAGAGCTCTTATTTCAGGAAATAGAATGTCATAATTCCCAGGTTTTTCTTTTTTTTCCTGGATTGATTAGGAACTGACACGATTTGTTCTTATTATGTTCAGTTAATCAGCATATAGTACATCATAAGTTTTTGATGTGGTGTTCAATGATTCATTAGTCGCATATAACACCCAGTGCTCATTACAACACATGCTCTCCTTAATACCCATCACCTGGTTACCTCACCCTCCTGCCCCCTCCCTTCTGTAACCCTCAGTTTGTTTCCCAGAGTACAGAGTCTCTGATGGTTTGTCTCCCTCACTGATTTCTTCCCATTCAGTTTTTCCTCCCCTCCCCTGTAGTTCTCCACTCTATTCCTTATGTTCCACATATGAGTGAAACCATGTGATAATTGTCTTTCTCTGCTTGACTTATTTCACTTAGCATAATACCCTCCAGTTCCATCCATGTCAGTGCAAATAGTGGGTATTCACCCTGTCTGATGGCTGAGTAACGTTCTGTTGTATATATGGACCACATCTTCTTTATCCATTCATCTGCTAAAGAGCATCTCAGCTCCTCCCACAGTTTGGCTATTGTGGACATTGTTGCTATGACTATTGGGGTGCATGTGCCCCTTTGGATCACGACGTCTGTGTCTTTGGGGTAAATGGCTAGTAGTACAATTGTTGGGTCATAGGATAGCTCTATTTTTAATGTCTTGAGGAGCCTCCATAGTATTTTCCAGAGTGGCTGTACCAGCTTGCATTCCCACCAAAAGTGTAAGAGGGTTCATCTTTCTCCACATCCTTGCCAACACTTGTCGTTTCCTGTCTTGTTAATTTTGGGCATTCTAACCGGTGTTGGGTGGTATCTCATTGTGGTTTCGATGTGCATTTCCCTGATACCTAATGATGTGGCCCATTTTTCTCATGTGTCTGCTGGCCATTTGGATGTCTTCTTTGGAGAGGGATACGTTCATGTCTTCTACCCATTTCTTGACTGGATTATTTGTTTTTTGGGTGTTGAATTTGATAAGTTCTTTATAGATCTTGGATACCAGCCCTTTATCCAAAATGTCATTTGTAAATATCTTCTCCCATTCCATGGATTGTCTCTTAAATTTGTTGACTGTTTCCTTTGTTGTGCAAAAGCTTTTTATCTTGAAGTCTCAAAAGTTCATTTTTGCTTTTGTGCACATTATTTTTAGTTTCAACATTTCACTTACATATTGATCCAATTATTTTATAGTGCTCACATATTGCTTTTAAATTCATAAAATAACACTTCCATTTTGAAAAATAAAGTGGAATTTATGAGATTCTCTGTACTTTAAGAGGTAGGTAGAATAGGCTAAAAGTATAGTTTTAAAGACAGTTAAGGTAATTTCACTGATTTCCAAATTGTTTGTTTATTTATTTTTTATTATGTTCAGTTAGCCAGCACATAGTGCATCATTAGTTTTTGATGTAGTGTTCAATGATTCACTAGTTGCATATAACACCCAGTGCTCATCAAAACACATTAAGACCCAAGGAAGAATCAAGATATGTTCCAAACATGTAAAAGCCATTCACTGTGAGCCACAGGGTCCCTCTGACCACACTTTATTTCCTTCTGCAGGGACTGGACCTCAGCATCGGAGATCTGCTGACAGTGGGAGTTCTCTCCTGATTTATAGGGACTGAGACTTAGTGTGTGTGTGTGTGGGGGGGTGATAAGAATTATTATCCGTGTGAAATGGGTGGAATCAACCCTTGATCTATGAAAGGTGTTTCATACACTGAAATTTCTAGGAATTTGATTAAAGAAACTTTGTATTTAGGTTTAAACAACAGCAGCAACAACAAACACAGAGTACTTACTACAGGTCAGACATGTGCTAAAGGAGACGATAGACAGATGATAGATTAGATAGATAGGTAGATAGAAGATAGGTAATAGACGATTGATGACAGATATTAATAACAAAGTAAGTGCTACTATGATCTCTGATTGACAGAGGCACTGTCCAAGTGACCCACCCAAGATCACACTAAGTGGTAAACCTAGGGACTGAATACAGGCTGTCCAAATCCAGAGTCCCCATTTCTTAACAAGTCAATAGCTTAGAGCTCTGACTACAGACAAATTTGAAAAAGGAACTACTTAGTATATTCAGAATAGTTTACAATTGAGAGCACTTCTGTATACCTCTGGCCTAATCCTTCGGATTAAAAACATTCTAAACTTCTGATCATTTCACAACTACAGAGATGAACCTGGTCGCTTTATTAATTTACCTGTTCCAGTGTGGAAACTTGAAGAAGGTAGATGACTAGTTAATTCAGGGTATGACATGACTCATCTGGGACCCACAAAACTGTCCTGACAACTTTCACTTGTCGTACTATGTGTCATGGACTATGTGTCAGTCACTTTACCCACTTTGCCTTGTTTAATTCCTAAAACAAATATGTGAAGTAGGGTACTGTCACCCATTTGGGAAGATAAGGAAACTGGATCCTAGTGATGTTGGATATCTCACCCAAAGTGACATGGCTACTCAGTGGTAGAGAAAGAGCCGATCACAGGGAGTCTGAATCCAAAGCCTGAGCTCACATCAATCACACAGTACTATGTAAGCATATATAGTACAATGACTAAAACTGCCTTCTGAGAGAAAGAATCTTTGCATAAAGTTATGATCTTCTCAATACTGTACTGTCCCTCTCATGCCCTTTGTAATTTTTTGTTGACTGACATCACCTGTAATGTGGATTATCATTATTATGCCAGGTCTGCAACTTGTCCTTGTGGTCCTTGGGAAACATGTCCACAACCAAGGCCTGGAACAACAGCTCTTCAGTGACCATGTTTATCCTCCTGGGATTTGCAGACCATCCAGAACTCCAGACCCTTCTCTTTGTGACCTTCCTGGGTATCTATCTTGTGGCCCTGGCCGGGAACCTGACCCTTATCTTTCTGATTAGAGGTGACTCCCACCTGCACACACCCATGTACTTCTTCCTCAGCAACTTGTCCTTCATTGACATCTGCTACTCCTCCACAGTGGCCCCCAAGATGCTCACTGATTTCTTCCAGGAGCAAAAGACCATATCGTTCTTGGGCTGTGCTACTCAGTTTTTTTTCTTTGTCAGCATGGGTCTCACTGAGTGCTTCCTCTTGACGGCCATGGCATACGACCGATATGCAGCCATCTCCAATCCCCTGCTCTACACTGCCGTCATGTCCCAGGGCCTCTGTACACGCATGGTGCTTGGGGCATATGCCGGTGGCTTCCTGAGCTCCCTGATCCAGGCCAGCTCTGTATTTCAGCTCCATTTCTGCGGACCCAACATCATCAACCATTTCTTCTGTGACCTCCCACCGGTCCTGGCACTTTCCTGTTCTGACACCTTCCCCAGTCAAGTGGTGAATTTTCTCGTGGTGGTCTCTGTCGGGGGGACATCATTCCTCATCCTCCTCATCTCCTACAGCTACATAGGAGCTGCTGTCTTGAAGATCCGCTCAGTGGAGGGCCGAAAGAAAGCCTTCAACACGTGTGCCTCACACCTGATGGTGGTGACTCTGTTATTTGGGACAGCCCTTTTCATGTACCTGCGACCCACCTCCAGCTACTCACTCAGCAGGGACAAGATGGTGTCTGTGTTCTATTCACTGGTCATCCCCATGCTGAACCCTCTCATTTACAGTTTGAGGAACAGAGAGATCAAAGATGCCCTGTGGAAGGTGTTGGAGAAGAAGAAAGTGTTTTTCCTAGTTCATGAATGAAAATACATTTCTCCAAACTGACAGAGACAAATGATCCCTGGCATCTACCTTCACCTCTGGCATCGGTGAGGGAGACATCTTATGTGCATGGCCATCTATCTGCTGACCCCACCATGAATAATGAAAAGGAGGAAGACATTACTTCCACAGAAACATCACCCCAAGTTACCCTATTCTCACAGTTGGTATTACAACAACCACCTTTTATTGGATGCTTAGTATGTACCAGGCACATCATTTAATTAAATATTCATTGCAGCTCTATGAAGCACATAGTGTCATTCCTTTGTTACAAATGAGGAAATGCAGGCCCAACAAGGAAGACTGATTTACCCAGGGCCATACAGGAAGCCAGAGGCAGAACCTGTCTGACCCAGGTCTTCCCGATTCCAGAACCCAAATGCTACCTTCCACATTCAATAACAAATAGCCCTGAAGTTGCACAAGTGTATGACACTTACTACTGGCATATGGCAGAACCCAAAAAGATAACACTGTGTATGGTTGAGATGAATTAAAAGAACAAGATGCCTACTCCATTAAACACTCTTCCAAGACATTCCTGTTGGACTTCCATTATGACTAGTAAATAACTTGCTAAGACTAAAGAATATCACCTTTGACTGTCTTTCTATCTCAGCTATGTAGGGGCCTAGACATTCTGAACCCCACAGAATCATATCAGTGCTCTTCTTTCCAGTCTCAGTCACTTAAATTGCCTACTTGCTCAGCATCTCCTTGATTTTTACCATATCATCCCTCTACCTGTTTGGCCCCCAATTCCATTTCACAGCATGCCCTCCTTTTCTCATCACATTCCAAGTTCCTCTTGCTCTCTTCTATATGAACCTATTGCTCCTACAAGATCCTTGTTTCTTTACCTGTATAGATGTAACCATGAGAAAATTTTTTTATTAGAATGGCAAAGGCTAGGGGTACCTGGGTGGCTCAGTGGGTTAAGGCCTCTGCCTTTAGCTCAGGTCATGGTCCCGGGGTCCTGGGATCGAGCCCCACATTGGGCTCTCTGCTCAGCGGGGAACCTGCTTCCTGTCTCTCTGTCTACTTGTGATCTCTGTCTGTCAAATGAATAAATAAAATCTTAAAAAAAAAGGCAAAGCTTAAAAGTAAACATAATCTCCACTTCACAGAAGAGTAACTGAGGCCTTGAGAATCTAAGCATCTTGTTTTATGTTATACAAGCTGATAAGAAGTAAATCCAAGGGAGTAAGCTTGATCTCTTGTTCTCAGGGATATGGATTTTCCCATAGGGAAGACAGTAAATATGGTGGGTGGGGGCCATCTCTGGAGCCAGCCTTCCTGGATTCAAATCTGGCTTTGTGATGCACACAAGCTGAGTAACCTCAGGCAAATCACTTAACTTCTCTGTGCTTCACCTGTAAATGGTGGTGGACATGACATCTACTTCATGGGGTCACAGTGGGGAGTAAATTACATTTACAACTATGCCTCACCCACATTGAATGCTTCCGAATCAGAATTGGCTACTTTTGTAATAGGTTCTGCCTTTTAAATAACGTTGAAAGTTAAAGAAAATTAATTCTAGGGTGTACACTCAATCATGTACCCTAATATATTTTTATGAACCCAAAAAAAAAGTAAACATAATACTGAATGCTAACAAAATACAAGAAAATAAGCCCTCTTATATACAGATAGTGAAAACATAAATTGTACTGTCTTTCTAAAGACTTGGTAACATGTATCAAAAAAATCATTCAAAAGTATATGCTTTAGTCCTAACTACTGTCTTTCTAGGAACGTATTCTAAGATGTGGACAAACATCCAAGGATACCCATCACAGAGCTATGCATGATGGCAAAAATTGAAATGACCTTGTAGTCCTCACAAGTCATACCTTATTTCTTTTTTTTTTATATAATCATTTTTTTAATTTATTTTCAGCATAACAGTATTCATTGTTTTTGCACCACACCCAGTGCTCCATGCAATCCGTGCCCTCTCTAATACCCGCCACCTGGTTCCTCCAACCTCCCACCCCCCCACCTCTTCAAACCCTTCAGATTGTTTTTCAGAGTCCAGAGTCTCTCATTGTTCACCTCCCCTTCCAATTTCCCTCAACTCCCTTCTCCTAACTCCCCATGTCCTCCATGCTATTTGTTATGCTCCACAAATAAGTGAAACCATATGCT